TATTTATAAATATAAAATTAATATATTAATTATTTTACATATATAAAATATTTATTAACTTTTTCAATTTTCCACTCCCATGTAAAGTAAACTATGAACAAATCAAGACTAAATTAGTTAAATTTGCGTTTTACACGTTGCCAGCACTGAAGTGAGATTTTCATTAGGACCCACTAAAATTAATCATGATCCGAAACCATTAATAAAGTTTAGGCATGAATAACAAACATAGCCTAACGTAACATAGCAGGGCCGTAGCTAGCAGGGGGGCAGCTGCACCCCCCCCAACAAAAAAAAACTTTAAGATTAGAAAATACTCGCTAAATGGTTTGGGGAGTTTTAGGTATGTAAGTAACCTACCTGAAATGGCTGGAAATGGCATTTCAGAGCTTCTATATTTCAAAATTTTCTGGGGGAGCGTACCCCCCCCCCCACCTAGAAGCGAGCCCCCGTTCATCTTGTGTCCCCCCCCATTACATTAATTCCTAGCTACGGCCCTGCATCACGTGTATGATTTTGTTTTTTGGTTACAGTTGCATCATGGTTCGTCTCTCCGGTGATGTCTGGATTTGTGTCCTGCTCTTTGTTCTACCTGATCAACCGATTCATCCTCAAAGCCGTAAGTAATAGCGAGAATGTTGCTCGGTGTTGTATGACACTGGAATCGAATGTTGCTCTGTGTTGTTTGGCACTGGAATAGAGTGTTGCCTCGTGTTGTATGACACTGGAATAGAATGTTGCTCGTGTTGTTTGACACTGGAAGAGAATGTTGCTCCGTGTTGTATGACACTGGAATAGAATGTTGCCCCGTGTTGTATGACACTGGAAGAGAATGTTGCCCAGTGTATGACACTACACACTACAAGGTATATATATATACATGCCACTGTAACTGATATATTATAACTGTATTGGTGGAGTGTATGACACTGGAATAGAATGTTGCCCAGTGTATGACACTGGAATAGAATGTTGCCCAGTGTATGACACTGGAATAGAATGTTGCCCCGTGTTATATGACACTGGAATAGAATGTTGCTCCGTGTTTGACTCTGGAAGAGAATGTTGTCCAGTGTATGACACTGGGAGAGAATGTTGTCCAGTGTATGACACTGGGAGAGAATGTTGTCCAGTGTATGACACTGGGAGAGAATGCTGCCCAGTGATTGACACTGGAAGAGAATGTTGCCCAGTGTATGACACTGGAATAGAATGTTGCTCCGCGTATGACACTGGAATAGAATGTTGCCCCGTGTTGTATGACACTGGAATAGAATGTTGCTCCGTGTTTGACACGGGAAGAGAATGTTGCCCAGTGTATGACACTGCGAGAGAATGTTGCCCAGTGTATGACACTGGAAGAGAATGTTGCCC